GGTGCTATATATTAGCTGAGGATAGATGTTATTCAGACTTCTATCAGCATTTTAATCTAACAGCTATTTAAGAAACCATCCGCCATTCTGTGTCACAGTGACTGTCATTGTCTTCGTGCTGTTTTAACGATCAGGAACACGTACGGAGCCGGGGCAGTGGTCCTGACGCGGCCGGCTACGCTGGGATGATTGGTATTCATGGTGGTGCTGACTGTAACGGGTTCTCAGAGAGAGGCACGATTGTGATTCTCCTCAGAGCTGCCCTTGCGGGGCCACTGGTGACAGTAACGTGAGCAGAAGCAGCAACGCTGCTAAATCTGGCCCGTCTGCTAACGTGTCGTCTGTGACCTTAGTTTTCCCTTGTTGTCCTCAAGACGTCCCGCTCTCCTATCTAATGCAAAATGAGCAGCGTGTCTGGTGTTGTGTCTAGCACACGCCGAGCCTGAGAAAACTCTCTCTCTGTCACACACACACACATAGAGGTTTGTAATTATATCTTTGTGGGGACTCTCCATTCATCTCTACTCCCAACATGACGACCTTAACCCCTACCCAGCCCTAACCTTAACCACAAGTAACCAAACTAAATACAAGTCTTTTGTCATTCACAGACCTTTGTGGGGAACTGAAAATTCTCGACAACATCAAAATAACAGGTTTTTATCGCATTGTGCGGGACATTTGGTCCCCACAATGTAATATAAACATAATCACAAACACACACATATCGGATTCACGCTGATGTTTCCCATACACATCTGAAATCGCTGATCTCACTGGAAAATGTGCCCCGGTACAAAACAACCAGTATAAACAACCACAACTACCTAATTACCTGCCGGATGATTCACCAGGAAAGCTACTGGTACAACAGAAACCAACAGACCAGCTACCAGCTAAAGTCTGGCTTGAGATACTGGTGACAGTCACGTCAAAATTCGCCCGGAATTTTTTCTTTGCCAAGTTCCTTTAGTGTTGTCTTTCCATTTATTACCAATTCTATTTTTGGACAAGTTCCTCAGAGCTGGCGACCTTGTCCACCAAGAAGTGATTCACAAAGCAACACTGATAAGCCATTAGGAATTTTACAGATGGTTGTTGGGACTAGAGTGGGTTTCACATCAGAGTTTTAGTTTCTTGATTTAGCACCCAGTTGTAAAACAAAAATATAGGATTGGATATAGATTCTGTGACTATTTCAGATTCTGTGAGTATTTCAGGAGTAAAAACATTACTTTGGCTTTCTGATATACTTCAGCAGGCTTTGAAGTATGTGTTAGGCTATTGTAGAATGACTGATTTGACTTCAAATGAAATAAACCTATGCATTCAACAGCCTACTGAATAAATTAGTATAACTATTCAGCTTACCCAACTTAATGATTATAGTTAGTTATTTAATGAGTCTAATTAATCAGCAACCATATTAGGAAACTTTTACTGCCAAAGATAATTAGTTTATAAGTTCCTCTTACAGCAGATTTTTGGGGTGACTGTTTGTTTCAACAGAACAAAGTACAACCATGACGTTATCTTTTGCAAATAAATCGCTGTTCATTACATTGACATTATTCATACACAAACATATGGGCACAGGCAGTCTCCAGGTTAAGAACGTCCGACTCAGACAACTCAACAGACTGCCATAAAGCCTGCTATATTAAAAATTCGGGTTAAATAGAATGATTCGTAATAATGAATGTACGCTCTGCTTTGTGATGTGCTAGAAAATATTATGCGGCGGTTCATCAGTTCGAGATGCAGTGTAGTACCATAAGTAGTTACATATTATGATGATTATTATTATCATTATGTACTGTATCATTATTTTTAAAGGTTTTAGTGTATTTCGAAGTGTTTCATACGTATAGAAAGGTAAAATATATTGCAAGAATTGTATACCACGAGAAGCTTTTGACTAACTGATGCTAATTATGATTCATATGTACCTTCTGACTTGCCTACAAATTCAGCTTAAAGACAGACTTAGGGAATGGCCCTGATTCGGAATCTGGCCACCGCGTGTATTTTTGTCCACAGGGTCTGTCAGGTTCCTTGGTGCAGTAGGGGTTAAGGGCCTTTTTCAAGGTCCTCAGGATGATATTATCACTCTAGCAGGTATGGGATTTGAACCCACAACCTACAGGAGACAGGAATACCTACCTAACCCACTGAGGTATGGACCACAGAATCATAATTAGCTACATAAGTGACGAGAAACGTGATAAACGTTACTGGAATGTGTAAATGCTCCCACACACACAGAAAGTGGCGATTGAATCACCCAGAGCAACTGGACCGTTTCCGCTATTAATGCCTTTGGGCCTCCTCACTAGAAAGGCTGGGGGAGTTTTTTTTTTTATCCAATTTCACATCATTTCAAAAAGCCCAATTTGAAAAAGAATGCATTTTACCTTAAAGAACCATCTGTTCTGTCGAGTTTAGATGGACTGACGGGATCAAAACAGCTTTGCTGACACGGGACGCCTTTAGCTGAAGTCTGTCACAGGGAGGACATGGGAATGTTGGGGGGGGAGGGGGGAGCACTTCCAAATAATGATAGTCAGCAGCATATTTTCAGGAATTTGCGACTGTATTTTTCCTTCCCCCCCATCTTGCTCTGGTGACCTGTCCAGCGATAAGGACTGGCACTGGGCAAACAGGAGAGCAGGGGGAAGATCCCGGGCTCTCAACAATAGCCTAGAACTGAGAACAGATGGCAAATATACAGGAAACCAGAGGCACTCTGGCTAATCCAGGAATGTCAGTGCTGAATATGCATTCCAAATTTTTAAATACCATGCATACTTTACATTCAGTCACCTACATATATTTTTTGATGTTCTGAAATCATTTTGCCAGAATATTATGAATTTGCAAGACATCTATCCCACTGTTTACATGGTTATGTGAAAGCACCAATAGACACCAAGTTTCCCGTTTCACTGGCCTCCAGAGCAGTGGTCAGCTGACGCGACAAAACCTGTGGCTGAAGAGTAAATCGCCGTTGATGAAGATACAGCCAGGATGGGATTTGCAGGGTCTCTCTCTGCGGAGGTCATGCCCACTCCGGCGTCTGGCCTGCAAGCTGGAACGACCTTGGCACAATGACATTCTGATCTGTGTCGGCGATCACTTCCTTGTTTACGACTTACAATAACGGTGAAGGCAAGACCACTTAGCTGGAGGCGAGGGGATCGACGGGCAGGAAAGGACAACTCCCACACCAAAACACCGCTCCGGAAAGCCTGCCGCAAACAACTGTCCCATACGACACAACACATTTTCACGGTGACACAGGGTGACGTGTCATTGGGGTCCGGGATTGGCCCGAAACGTCCCATTTATTAAGCTGTCAATGGGGAGAGAATTGGGTCAACAGGCAAGGCTGAGCATTCTGGGTCAGCCCCCGCCTCTGCAGAATAGTCACATGTCTGTTGGCCTCTTAAACAAGGAGCCTTGCCCTCCCCAAATGATCCAGAGGTGCCAGATAAATGGCCTGCCCCTGCACTCAGACCTCAAACTTAGTTCTAGTTCTGAACGATATATATATATATATGTGTGTGTGTGTGTGTATGTATGCGCGTGTGTGTGTCTGAAAGAGTAAAATGGGATATTATGAAATGAAGCTTTCCAATGTGCCTGTACTTGTATTTGTGCTAATGGAAAATAAAGCATCGTGCCATTTCCCTCAATGGCCAGAATGAGGCGCTGGTGTCAATCCAGGTCTTGTTTTCCTTAAATCTGCACCTGGCTGCGGGGTGGAGGAGAGGGGGCGTCAGTCCATTCTGTTGTCCCGTCCTGTCAGGTTTCATCAGAACTACAATGGCAACAGCAATCCGGGCCCCCCTCCCCGCCGAGGAACGAAAGCCCCTTTTAATCGCAGCTGGTGAGTCTCATTCCCTCTGCAGGAACTGCATTCTTGGGAGCATGAAACCGGTAAACATTAGAGAAAGTGTAAACAGATTACCAGGACAGGATACAGAGCAAATAAACTTCGCGGTGGGTATTCCTTCATCTCGTCAGGGTTTATAGAAAACAACTGAATCATAACACAAAAGGTCAACCTTAAAAGGCCTTATAGGCTTTGAAGTTGGGAGGTATTGATACAATTAAATATAATTGCATATAATTAAATATGACTACTGCCATACCTCATGGCAGCGTCCATCTTATAACACGTGTGCACGTCAAATACGTAGAGAATTAAAAAGGAGCCTGAAACACAATGATCTTTGTGGGTAGAAATAGAGCCTCAGTGAACTCAGAACTACTGAGTTTGCAAGGTACCATCTGACTGGGCCGTCATTCTGCTAGATCCAAACCCAGTTTAAAGCCCTCGGGTGATACTGATATCGTCAGTTTAACACCATTAAAACTTTACGGATGAAGAAAACAAATAATTGGAAAATACAATGCAAGTAGAATGTAAAACGGAATGTGAGACAAACACCCCAAGATATTCATTATCATTCTTTTTTATTGAACAGGCAATAGTGCATTTACACACTCATATGTATTGTTACTATTTATGGGTATTGTGGGGAAAGTCAAAATCCGTTTTTGTTTCCTCACAAACCCGCATGTCACAAGGTGCACGTCCGTGAGAGAGACACTGGGGGCCCGGGGCCCGGATCGCGCTGGCGAGAAGCTGGGGGCCCGGGGCCCGGATCGCGCTGGCGAGACGCTGGGGGCCCGGATCGCGCTGGCGAGACGCTGGGGGCCCGGGGCCCGGGACTCGGATCGCGCCGTTCCCACGAGAGCCGCCTCCCAGCGATTTGGTCTAATTCGAGCAGGATTTCGGTTACAGATTCACACAGTGATAAAAACCAAACCTGGTGCAGCTGGGCTGCCGGTTATCTCTGCGTCAACGTGCCGCCCGAGATTAACCACCGCTGCAAATCAGCTCTCTGTCTAATTAAACTCTGGTTGGGCTGAAATTCCAGTTTCGATCACGCTGAAGCTCACATTGAAAGGAGTCGGACACACGCTAGATACGGCCTACTTTCTCCGAGGAAAACGGACCCATTTCTTTTTGTTTTTTTTGTCTTTGGTGTTCTTACACTGGAAAATGTTTGAATATTTAAACTTTATACAAAAATAGAAATATTGGAGAATAGCAGTTAACCGGTTCAGACGTGGAATATGCAGCCGATTGAGAATCCGGTGAAACTATTCCCGAAATTAGGGATTTAAAAACAACAAAAGAAAGAAATGGAAAAAGAAACATCAGAAAATCCACAAATCGATTTTGTGGTCACTGTATTTACATCAGTTTCCCCCTCGCTGCGTATCATAGAGGGAATAAATTGGGGGGCGTAATTAAAGCTAAAAGATAATACTGAATTAATATCCGATAACTGATACAAAAAAGCAGGAGAAACGGGGGAGAAAAGAGGCCCCACAGAAAGTAGGCAGTTTCGCTTGATCTTCAGTCACCTCAACACATTCGCTAATTCCCAAGCACAGTTTCCGTTCATTACATCATCGCACTCCAGTACCCAACCAGAGTCACATGACCACACGCGGCTACATCCTCATCATGACCCACACACCCTTACTATCGCTTTTCTCTTCCAAAATAGCACCGTAAACGTGCTGATAAAACACTCTAACGTAGAGTACGAGAGGGGGAGGTTTAAGGAACAATACTAAAAAGGCCCAAATCCTCACTTCTTCATATGAGATGGGTAGTAAGCAGGAAAAAGACCGTATGGAAAAAATCCAGGGCTTGATGACACTGCATGTTCAGCTCCTCATTTTCCTGTGTAAAACTCAGTTGGCCCATAGTACGGAAACTGGAATGATGACAGCGTGTTACAGTGAATTACGTGTCCGTCGCACCAACAAAATCCACGCAAGATCTGCTGCTTGAGGCCAATGAAGAACAGCACGTTCAGGAACATCATTCCTGAACAACTCAGCCGTAAAGAGCTTCCTAGTGCTGGGAGATGTGAGATGAATCTCCCAATTAGCATGGCAACAGTTGGCATTCCTTCCCAAAGTCCTGCAAAAGAAAAGAGCACTTACGATGGTGAAAGTCAGGAAGGAAAATGAAGAGGACAGAATCAGAGAGGGTCAGTCTTGTCTCTGTAGGCCACTGAACAATGATTTCAGGATTTCTTTCATTTGTATAAAAAATCTGAAGGCACCCCAACATGCCAGAGGTTAAAATATTGGAGCTCGAACGTAAGAAATCAGTTCTGCGCAAACTTCCCATTACCAGCTCGATTGAAATATCAGGGACCAAAAAATAAGTCTCTGGGAGGAGACGATCCACTAGTTTGACACTGTGAGGAATTTTCTAGGAAGTATAAGCTTCTGCTCATACCTGTTAGAAATCAGACACATCGTTAGCAACACTGCAGTTAGAAGAGCACTGAGATGATTAGAGACTGGTTAGCTTGGGAGAAAACAGACCATCTCCCCTTCTGAATCTTCTGCTTGTCAGCCTGGGTTTGTGTTTAAGTTGTGTTTCTGAAGAAGCGACAGACGTTCTGCTAGACTGAATGTGATGAGAGGGCAGGACCTCCTAGACCCTGCTTTCTGGGGAAGCTAGGGGTTTCTGGGTCCAGCAAACGGGAGTGGATGGAGCTTCTAGAGGTGCTCGCTCCAGCCCAGGCCACCCAAGACAAAGGTTCCTCCACGATGGATCAGGAGAGCGACGGCGGCTGCAGCTCTCCTGACAGGTAGCCAGCGCTAGGAGCTTTGCAGGAGACGTCTGTAGTGGGGCATGATCTCTTGTTCCGGTAAGTGCAGGTTGAACTCCAGGGCCACTAGAACCGGGAACTCGAAGGCGATTAGCTCTCGACGATTCAGCCGGAACTTCTCTTCCAGTTTCTGGATGAACGAAGAAGTTTTGTAACCACACTGAATCATCACTGAACATACAACTCCTGAAACTAAATGACGCTATTTACACATCATGTACAGCTTAATAAAATAGGGACACACTTACAGCTCCTTAACTCCGTACAGCATAACAAATGTGTACCGGCCTACACACTGTTACTCCACATAGAAGTCCGTGGATGTTGATATAAATGAATGTTTATGTACTGGTTACGAAGATAAGACACAAAGCTTATAAAGGCAATATGCTTAAGTTTTAACACTAAGGAAACATAAACCTTTTCTGTGGAAAGAGCAGTTAGAGTAGAACAAGAAGTTCTTGAGAACTTTCCTAATACCTCAGCTGACTACTCAGACCAGACCTTAACTGGATGTGTATGAGGAGCAAAATATTACAGAGTGAGCTCTTGTTTAAGAGGCTCGATATAAACAGGTGTCAGGGTCAGCCATCTTGGTTCAGAAGGCTCTGGAAACTGCCGGCCCGCGAGCCGGAGGGAGTGACTCACGTCGATGAGCTGCTTGACCTCGTGCTTCTTGAGGTCGCTGCCGATCTTGGCGGCCAGCAGCACACAGGCACCGGCACACAGCTTGCGGTTCTGCTTGTTCAGCTTTCCCCGCAGCGCCAGCTTCTCGAAGTAGACGAAGGCCATGGCCACCGTGGACTCCTCGTAGCCGCAGTCCTCCTGGGTCAGCTTGCGGATCTCCCGCTTCAGGCTGCCCGGGTACAAGGAGGAGCACGTTAGCTGGGGCCGCTGCACGGGTACGGACCGGGCCGGCCGCCTCCGACGGCCCTCACCTCCTGATCTTGCTGAGCGTCAGGCGGATGTGAGGGAACTTCTCCTTGAAGGTCTCGTTCATGTCCTTCTTGAGATCCGACGGCTTGACGTACTCTATGACCGTGGTCTGAAACAGAACCAGTCATGACTAGGGTTGAATGGCCATTAACTCGGGTCAACTGTGCTTAAGCTGTGGTGCAAGGCAGGATGGGTAAAAAGCACGTTACACGTTAGGCATAAATTTTATGTTCATGAGACGAGTTTAAGCGAAAAATAAAGTCAATTTCTCAATTCAAATAAGATTGAGAACAATTTTACATCATGAGGGAAGAGGGAAAAAGATACAATAATTCTGTCTGTTGCTGCGGTATCTCCATGGAAACGCAGCCTCAAAGGGAGTGGGAGGCCAATGTCCACCTCTTTGATCCAGTCACTTTGTTTCACAGCCATCACAGTAGTTAGAAAGCGTTCCTGCGTTGTTCTGATAATTTAGTGTTATATAAAAATACCTCTGCGTTTTAATCAACACCTTTCCTTCAAGAGGCCACTGTATTGCTGAGGACGCAACTTTACATAAATCATAAATACCATCAGAAATGGTATCATGGATCATTTTCCATTGTGGGCTCAGATCTTGGTTTATTATTACAGTAACGGCAACATCGCCCCGGGGTGGTGTGTAGGGTTAGGGACCCCGGAAGGGTGTGGGTTTGGACAACTGATGAGCACCAGAAGGAGGAGAGACCAGAAAGAGGAGCAGGTGAACCCCCCACTTGTTGTTGCCATGGAAACAACCGCTGCAAAGTTTCCCGGACAGTAACACCAGAGGCGACTCCATGAGGAAACAAGGGGTCTGGGAGTCCTGTCTTGCGGTTCAGCCCCCCCCCCCAGACTATCACCGGGGGGAGTCACAGCTCCACCCACCGGGTTATCTAAGCCCGCGTTACCCCTCTTATCTCGGTCTAAACAGATCACTGTGGCTCGCTGATGCAATGTTTACAAGTCGTTGCCGGAGCTGAATCGCGTGGCACAGAGCCAGATGGCATATGTCATGAAAACATGCGGCATGGTGGGGGGTGGGGGGTTGGGGGTGTTTGGGGTGAGATGCTGCCAAGCGGAATCGGCGTGTGGGTGCATCAATCATCCCGGGAGAGGACAATTTAGAATGAACGGTTCCATTCATGAACCCAGCAGGACAATCGTTCATTTATCCAGAACTGTAAATTATTTATACGGAGGCAAGTTTAAAAACAGGAGTAAGACCAAACTTTATAAAGACACCTGGAGGGCAGACACACCCCAGAGATTTAATATTCACCCCTCAGTGGGGGCTCTGCTCCCCCTGTTCCTAATATAGATTTTCTATACAGGTGCGTTTGAATGCTGAGGTAGACTGAACTGGACTCACTGCAGACTGTCATCATTATTAAAACGGCAAGAAACAAAGGAACAATAACTCGACATACTATGATACCACAAACTGGTCCGAGCCCGGAACATTCTCTTGTAGCTTTGACTCCTCTTTCCTGACCGGCAGCATGTTTTCCTAACAGACCTGGGCGTCGCGCTCAGTCCCGGGTCCTCTCCATGGTAACAGCGACATCACTATTGGCTGCCTCTCCCCATTTCGGATTTTCTGTTTATTTACTAGATTAATCTTCCGATGCGTCAACAAAATGACTGAATCCACACTTGGATCTCTCCCATCCTCGGCGCCGGAGAGCCAGACGTTCCAGAAAAGCTGAGATGTGTGACAGCTTCGTGTCGCGTTGCTGGGTGAGCACGTTGGAGCGGCTAAAAACCATCGATATCAGGAACTGGTTTTTGGACGTCCCAAGCTACAGTCTTGCTAGGAAGCCTGAAGTTGGCTTACTGATCCTGCCCAAAAAAAGCAGTTAACGGCACTCAAGAGCCAATTACATCATACCCAGGAGGGAGACGTCGTTAGATCATCCACTTGTGTCTTCGAGAACGTGAGAGAATTCCCACAGGTTTCAAATTTAAAAACAATGAAAAACGTCATTTAGAAAGAAGAGGACGATAAAAAAGAGCCTCAACAATCAGTCCGTTGGGAGCCTGGCTGTTTGCTTTTCATAGACAACGTAACGCTCATCATCACACATAGTGATTCTTCCACCGAAAGCAGCTTGGGATCTTCGTAGAAGCAGCGCCAGCTGTCGGCAGAATTGCAGTCCGCCTTCGGTAATTAAGCGCGTTAATCAACTTCCTGTTTACATTTGACATTTTTATCCAAAGCGACTTACAGCGGAGACACAGGCTACTTCGTGCGTACTCCCCCGCCTTAGCCTTGTTAGCGTTACGCTTTACTTGTCCAGCTACAGAAGCAGTCACTTGCACCCATACACTTCATTTAAGTTTGTCCTACACAGATGCCACCTGATATGTAGGAGGAGTTCACAGGGACAAGGCTATCTGATCGAGTGAGAATGAAATGACAGGACTGAGGAGAAACTGGTGAAACTGGATTCAGTGGGAGAGGCTAGTACCAATTGTGTTTCAGAATAGGAACCACATGTTCCTAGTAGGGCAACAGGGAACCTATGAGTGCAGAATTCCGTAAACGAGAAACACTCAACCAACGGAACGCTTCAGCGAACGGGTAAAACACAGAACTGTCACCACAAGTGAAGTTTCTCTGGAAAAAAAAAAGTCTAAGTGACTAAGCGACGAGATACCAATAAGTCATCCTGCGTCTGGAACCAGAGCAAGGGAAGATGGGAAAATCCCAGCGCGAGCTGATTAGACGGGGCCGGGGTCACTCACCATGTAGGAGGGGAAGATCAAGACCCTCTTGTGCTTCCCGCACGGCCACTGGGGGTCATCCAGCAGGTTGGGGTCGTATTCGAAGAAGTCGCCCATGTCGTTTCCTGCGAGTGAGAGCAACGGGGTCAATGGCCGATAATGATGCTGGAGGAGATGCGTCACTGTAAGCCGGTCGACGGCCGGCAGCACGAATGGTATTACGCAACATCTGCCTTTAAAAAACAGTTAGGATGCATCGATTCTAGCAGGAATGTCTATAAAGTTTGGGTTTGGCGCCCGGGTCACAGCCTGGTCCTTGGGGACTCCCAGACCACATTTTGTTCCCTTCTTGATTGCTTGGTTCATTCTTGATTCCTTGCATGAAGTGTGGTGGGAGCAAAAACGTGGACTGTCTGCAGGTACCTGAGGACCGGGTTGAGAAACACTGACCTGGATAAACCACAGCTGCAATGGCCTTTAAAGAGCTCTGGTTAATCCCCAACGAGGACTGGGTTACCGACGATGCACGCTGGCAAACACCATGAGATAAGCTGCGGCGAGGGTGTCCCCCGTGCAAACAAATTAAAAATGCATACAGTATGAGCACACGGCTAACCCTGGCCACAGTCCCATTGACCTCAGGCTTGGAACGAGGGAAGGGGGTCAACATGCCCGTAAAAACATGACCTCTCGTTTTTCCACCTTCATACAAAAGGGCGTCGTTTCCAAACTGTGTGCCACCCCCAAAGGAGGAAACCCGTTGATGTGCAAACTCTTGACCTGTTTCGCTTGACTGACCCAGGATGACATCGCTGCTGCTGCCTAGAGGTGGAAAAGGTCACGATAATGCACAGACTCTGATTTCAGACCAGCGGGAATAGATGGCCTGCGCTCAGGAAAGTCTGCGCTCAGGAAAACTGAAAAGGTCCGTATTTACATGCTAAAAAAACGACAAAATATCAAGGAGATCATTATTTCATTAATGTACTTTCAAAAACACCACTCTTAAAGGTCAGAACACATCCGATGTAATCTGAGTGTACTTATCTTGCAGCCAACTGAATCTGAGTTAAAACAGATCTTTCCCACAGGCTAAATAGTTCACATTCAAATATTTATTATTTAAATATTCCTCAGTTGTGTAGACTTTTAAAAAAAAAAAAAAGGTTTGTTAAAGAAACACCTGACTGAACTGTTCATAAAAACTGTTCCACAGAGAACATGCAACATTAAAAAAAAGAAAAACAACAGAAGTCAACAGCAAATTATTCATAGGGTGAAACGATAATGTTTCATTTGCTAAATTATGAATTAATTATGTCTATTCTTTGGTTGCAACAACACCAGTCGCAAAAATAAAAATATGTTTTGTCCAGAGACCTAGTTTCACTGTACATGTGAGAAAAAAAAAATCAAGGTGTCAGATTTCAGAACAGAAGTGGCTTTATCAGCATGTGACAGAGTGACCACATTTAGTACAGAGGTTGGCCTTCTGGAACATCAGACGCCAACTTTCTAGAAGGTTCCGACAGACACGGTGAGTGCGTGTCTCGATATGATTAAACATTAAATAAGGTTTTAAGAGACAATCATCTGGATCATCTCTAAGTCCCACATCACTGTTGATCTGCTGTTCTCCACGATCCTTAGACATCACACTATGCATTTGTGTACGGCATCACAGTAGGGCAGCATCAGAGGTGGACGTTTCACATCCAGAAATTAAGAATCCGGACAAAGATTTTGTTTCAACCAACCAGTTCAGCATAAAGAGTCACAGTCTCAGAGTGCTCAACTGGATGATTGAAACAAAATCTTGGTGTGGATTTTTACTTTCCATAAGAGAGAAACATGATTCCATTGACAAAGTTATCAATAAATAAATCAATAACTTTACAAATAAGATTAGAGACCCCTGCCCTACATTTACGCAAACTTGTTACGGTTTCAAGTCATGGTTGGACTGCCCACCAGGGGGCGCCCCAAGACCTCCAAGAAACACCGCTTGTGGGTACGATGGCCAGTACAGGTGGGCTGCTGACCTGTATCGATGCTGCCCTGGGTGCTGTTGGCTCGTGCCAGGTTCAGGCTCCGGTGGCTGGAGTGGCGCGACTGTGAGAAGGACGAGGTGGAGTCGATGGTGTTCCTGCGGCAGCTCAGGGCGTTCGTGGGATACAGGAACTGGGTGTAGGACACCGTCTAAGGAGACAACACAATGGAGGCCACACAATGAATGGGAGCAGGGTGCGGAGAGGAACTTCCACTCGCTTTGAAACGTGGTCCTCCTCAGCATCACAGGGTGTTCAGGAACAGGCTCGAACCAGAGCTGGACCCTCTAAGACCGCTATAAACAGGACCTCTCCACCAAAGGCAAAAAAAAACACACCTGTAAAATGCAATCAACAAAATGACTAAGGTCAGATGTTCGACGGCTCTTGGTCCCTCATGTATCCAAGCACCGTTTCCTTGAAAAGCCATTTCGAATCAAAGACTTCATAGGGTTCCCAGATGGCTACATTCAATGGTGCCATCAAATGAAACTCTAGAGGAACAATGAAGGATCAGCGTACAGGAAACCCAATGGTGCTGCAGGGATCGACTGATTCCAATGTCAAGCCGTATGTTGCAAAGAGCAAAAAACGGCCAACCATGCAGAGTCACCTCCCCTGGTAGGCCTCAGACCAACCCGGCCACCTGCCTCACCTTCCCATCTGCCCCGAGCTCCACGCCCTCCAGCCCGATCACCATCTCCTTGGCGCTGACGCCTCCTGAGGGGTGCCGTTGACGCCCTACGTCCACTTTGGTCTCCCTGTCAGTGTAGAACACCACTTTAGTTGCCCCCCCTCCCAAACAGCCAGGCCAACTCATTCCCCCCAATCCCACACGGTAACCCCACTGGTCGGCAATGATCCCGGTGCTTGATTTGCGGGGTAGTTCAGAATTGAATTCTACAATTACCTCTGAAGGAAAGCACCGTACCCACAGGTCTGTCTGGCTGTTTGATTCATTTAAGGCTGTAGTTTCAAAACGAATGCATCATCCAAAAGGCTTGCAGTATGTACCATGTAACATTTCTTTGGAAAGAGTCCAAAAAAAAAAAAAAAAAAAAAGTGCTCACAATAGAAAATGTGACCATGAGTCGCGATTCCTGAAACTCAGCCGGTGGAAAATGGACTTTCCGGAAATTCCCAGGGCACCCCTTCAGCGGCAAAGCTCCTCAATTTGGCAATGGCTATGTCTCTCTGCCTTAGAAGCTTGAAGGGACACAAGTGACACTCATTAGGGAGGCTGAGAGGCTGCACGTACGTAGCAGGTGTCATGGGACTTAACGGGACCAGCGGCGATAACCGAATCGCCACGGTAGCTTCCGAGAAAGTCATTTTCCACTTCATCCAGTTGGATTTATTTTTATATAGCGCCTGGGTGCGTGGTAATGCATTACTGCATTGTTTATACAGAATAATGCATGAAACATGGAAAAGGGGAAGACGGAAAGAATGAGTGGAAGAAAGAGACCGAACACAACAGAGGACATGAACCAAAAACTCCTAAGTGGGGAGTAGATCTCGAGATCTATGGTCAATTAGCTGCCTCCCTCCCCAAGTACGCTAACATTATAATAAAAACGGGCCTGCTGGCTAAAAACAAGGTGTAAACCGTGGTCAGAGTCAAAGCCAAGGTCCATCAATGAGTCGGGTCCCTGGACCCGCCTATCTGAGTCAGCAGACTGAAGTCAGTACCCACGATGTCACAGTTCTGTGTCGACCCATTCAGCACGGGAATGCCACTCAGGACATTGATTTTATCAGGCGACTGCAGAAGCTTGCAAGGCTGATTAAAACGGGTAAGATACCATGGCTCTACGATCCACAAAAGTGTTGGCGTTGAGGCTCCAGTCCTAGGGTTCTTCGGTCGTGGAACAAATGGCATCATTTTGCCCTGGGGAGGAGCGATGAAGCTGGTCATCGGCGATGACCGGCTGCCGCATGAGTACCTCAACGGAGAAGTTCAATGGAAACGTGAAGCCTGAGCAGGCTGACGGTTACCAGTGGAAACGGTATTACCGCTCCTGTGATTGGTGGCTCTCCTACGCAGTGCTATGTGACCCGGCTGAGAGGTTTATTCATGATTAAACGCACCTTGATACCTTGAACTCTAAGGCTATTTTAGGTTTCCAGTAGGGGTGGAAAAAAAAGCCAATTAACTGTTGTGTGACCTTCTGCAGATTATGACATCATAATAGACAGTACCTTCCTTAAAAGGTCATACATCTTACAAAAGCACACAGGTGTTAAGGAGGGGGTTATTGTAACTCCCCAGCAGGAATTTACAGACCCGGATTCTCTCCCATGACCTGGTGTTGACGGGTATTCAGCATCAGCACCCTCTAACTGGGTCAGAAAAGAAAAATCGAAATTTTTGCAGTTTAGCTTGGACCTCAAGTAGGCAAGCCTAACTGACAGCTTTAATAGACTGTAATTTAATATGTCCCTGAAATACCTGGGGGAGGGAAAAAAAAGAAGAGAAAAAAAACAGAAAAGGAGGAATGAAACTGTGAATGATGTCATCTAAATTCCCTGAGTCACTAAAAAGAGCCAGTGAACAGGATTATACCGAGAAAGGTAATGACATCTAATTTGTCAACTACCGGCCTTTTTCGCCTCTCAAGTGGCTTGAGTCACTTAACGGTGTAATTGAATTGCACGGTTAATAAAATACCCTGTAGCAAATCAATCCAAGTAATTGAGGTGAGGAACAGATGAGCATGCTGTAGTCTACATTTCTCTGTCTATATAGACACCATCAATAAGAAGCTGGTCAATGTAACAGTGCATCTAGCTACAAGTATGAAACTAATACAAGGTTACAACTTTCTGACTTGTATTTCAGGAGACGTTTGAGCAGTTGGTTTCTTGTTTGGAGAAGAAAGAATAAGACCCAAATGAGGCAGCGAAAGTCAGTCACCAATGATGGTTGTCTTGAAGGTTATGGACTGTACATAGCCCTATGGATTTGTTGCCCATCATGACACATGAATGAACATGAATAAACTGCGTGATATTATCTTTCTTCTGAGAATCTCAACACCTAGAGGGTCTGCCGGCGATCTGAACACGTTAGAGAATGAGGATACCTAGCAGGACACCAAATGTGTTTATACACCTGGATAAATATGCTTCCAGAAAATATTTGCTGTAAAGTATACTTGTCACATCTGCAGGTTACCTGCAGAGGGTTCTATTCAAACAAAAACTCTCCATAGTTTGGAAAAACAATATTACTTAATAACATGTCTGTTCTTCCTGTTCCACAGGCTGCCTGCTTTACCATCATATCATTTTCAATAATCAGATGTTCTATCAAAGAGTGCCTTGCTGAAAGCCAAAGTCCCCAGCAAGGTCACGTTCTCACTACGACTTGACCAAGATCAACCAGCCTGGTCATGACGTGAAATAAACCTCAAGCAGATGCTGAACTTCGTGTTGGACCAACGCCACATTTCCGCAATGCTCTGTGGAAGACTGACCAACCTCTGTAGGTGAAAAGGTTCTCATTGGTGCCTTGTGGCATTCTGAGGTTTTCATTGGTGCCTTGTGGCATTCTGAGGTTCTCATTGGTGCCTTGTGGCATTCTGAGGTTCTCATTGGTGCCTTGTGGCATTCTGAGGTTCTCATTGGTGCCTTGTGGCATTCTGAGAAAAAAAAAAAAACTAAACAAATACTTCACACACAAACTAATGTGATGAAACATCCAGATCTCTGTACCTATTAAAGAACCGAAGGTAATGTTTCCTGGCTCTTGCCACAACATTCTTGTGGGAGCTGTGAGTGGATCTCCAGGCGAGATCTCCGTGCCCATGATAGGAAGACTGCCAGAACAAATTCTGTGGGCAGCAAGATGATGTCACCTTTGGGCCCTTGAGCAAGGTCCTTAAAGGGGCATTTCATTCCAAAAAAAAAAAAAAAAAACATTTCAGATATGCTACTCATTTAGGTTGTTGTGATGATGAGTGTTGCCTAGTTTTAGAGGAACTGGGCATAGAAATGTCAGTCTTCATGCGATTATAATGGGACTGAATGATTCTGTCTGTGACAATCAACGCGCTAAAAAATACATTTGAAAAATGTCTCTGACCAGAAGTCGTATCTCCAAAACTAGGCAACTCTCACCAAAACAATCTAGATGCGTAAACAGCCTGACAGCATATCTGAGACATATGTTTGTTTTTTGATTTTGGGGTAAACTGGCCCTTTAACTCTCACACCTACCGTGGGGTTAAACTGACCCCAAATGTCAGGTGACTTCTCATAGTAACATTATTATTGTAGGAGCGTGTAAGAATAAGCCCACTTGCTACATGAACTGGGCGTACTTTCTCAATTGTACATCGCTTAGGGTAAAGGTGTTAACTAAATACATGAACGGAAAATGAATGAAGAACTTCCATCACAAGCTCTTCTGCTCTCATCTTCAAGGTACAACTCTTCATTAGTTGACCCTTGGGGTTTCACGGAACCAGGGAAGGGGACCGGGGTGCCTCACGGTCCAAAGGAGGAGGGGTATCCGTGCACAAACGGGCCCTGGCTGGTGGCAGGTCGGCCCTGAACACGCTGATGTCAGTGCTGCACAGCCAGATGCGAGCATCGCCGCTGGGACGCGTTCGGATCGATGCCGGCACTCATCCATGCGGTCCAGCTTAAGTGAGCTATTTGAAACGGCTCCTGCGATACGAGCTTAAAGAGGGGATCAAACCAGCGGTCAGCTGGCTTTCCATTGTTGCAACAGTGGCTTTCAAGAACAGAGCGAAAGGAGCAAAGAAACGTTCAGGAACGGACTGTTCAGCTTGAATTTCGCCACATTCCCAGTGTTTAGCAGCCCATTGTCTTTTAATTGGACTTTCTCCGAAATGCAGCCCGGTTCAATGGAAATCCGGAATGCCGCGCAAGGTCAGGTCAGGATTTAACTCATGAGCGAGAAACAGGAAGCTGGAAGGGCCGGTCTGAGACTGCTTTTGTTCCCAAATCCTGAAACAATGGCATGATTAATCATCATGCAAAATGAGGCATGAGACAAAACAGTAAAATTTTTCCCCCAACGTTTTTTTTTTTTTTTTTTTAATTTATTATTATTATTTTTACCTGAAACATTCAGAAAACACAGAAGTTGGTTTTTAAGCATTCAGACTTCATCCTTAACCAATCGCTGCTTTGACAACAACAAAAAATGCATTTCCTCTAAGAAATCCTGTCTTCTGATATAGGGGGTTTTGATGCTGAGGTTGTCACAGCAAAGTCACTTTCATTCGGTTAAGTTTATATGGGAACCAGGAACCCAAACCAATGAGTTTGACATGGGAGCATATGAAGGACTAGCAGCCAAGCAAAGCATGATCTATGGCAGAGGTGCCCAACCCTACTCCTGGAGATCTACCCCCTCCCCCCAGAGCTTAGGTACAACCCTAAAACACCTGATACAGATAATCAGTTATATCTCACTATGAGAATCAGCTTAACTTCAACATAGATGACTCTAATACTAAGATATAACTAAAGGGCCTGATTATCTGTATCAGGCGTGTTAAGTTAGGGCTCTACCTAAGCTCTGCAGGGTGGTAGATCTCCGGGAGCAGGGTTGGGCACCCCTGGTCTATGGGGTTCAAAGGTCTCCAGGAAACAGAGGGGTGAACTTTGCGAAAGGAACACAGTATGCGTAACGCAACAGCAAAGCTAAAGTCATGCCCATACGCATCCTCGGCTCATCGTTAAGCGTTCGTTAGCGCTTGAGCTAGCTAAAGGTGCCAACGGTTCTGCTTTTTCCCTAAGATCTCTGGAACCTTAAGGTGTGCTGTCTAGAAGCTTTTTAATCAATATATAAAGTACGTACACACACATACACAGGCAGTTCTCAACAGACGTAAGTAATCCGTTCCACAAACCCATATGCAAGTCAAATTTTGCGTAAATCGGATTTACCCCGCCCATACCATTGAACAGCCTTTAGCGAAAAAAAACAAAAACACGTAGGGCAAAAAAAATACAACATGTACTGCATAACATATATTAAAAAAATTAAAATATCGAGTGCGATAGCACTTCTGTGAACTCCACATAGCTCGGAATTTTTTTGCGTACGTGCAGATTTACTTAAGTCGGTTTTATGTAAGTCGAGAGCTGCCTGTACATGAGCGGATGCGTATTTCCATGCGCGGGAACACCGCATGACATAAAGAGGACAAAAGTAAAAGCAGGATGCTTCTGGATATAAACCGCTTCTACGCAAAAGCTCAGAACTAGAGGCGAGAGAACAAGAGCGGGCAAAGGAGATGGGTGGGACACGTGAAGGTTAGCATGCTAGAGGATACATACCCTGTTTGGCTACAGTCTCGATAGGGCAGGACAGAAAACACACTACAGAAGGATCTTCTGCCACTGATTAGGACTATCCTATAAGACAAAACAATGACAGGCTGAGTGAGATCTCTACAGCAGTGTGACACTCAGGTTCAAATGGAGATAGGAGAAGAGATTAGAGAACGTGGCACACAGGTGAAGCGTGTCATGTTCGGCCGCATCTCGAGGGATGCGTTTTGGAGCCTTGCAGTGACGCGTGACACTCGTGATGTCATTTCCGGTGGGTTTTCTCAGGTCTGCGCACACAAGACCCCCAAACCTCCTACCTATAGAGACTCTCTGCCCAATTGCGACGGAATGCTCTGGTAACCGGTGCCAGCCTCGCCCGTGGCGGACGGCAGTCTGAGCTCATGGGGAACAGCTTGAGGAAGGCTGGAGGTGTGCCACGCTGACGGCACTCTACCTGACCACCTGTTCAAATGGCACTCGATATATCTCTATGGCCGAGGCCGTCTTAGGTTTCCGTCGACGTGGCCTTATCACCATCTACGCTGAAGGACTCTTTGCCAAGCTGCCAACCCACCTGACGATGACAGTGGACCTGAAAGGCTCTCACTGACAAAGATACGCAAGGCTAAAAAAGACCAGACGATCTCACTTTAGGTTCAGATGTTGTGTGGAACTTCGTCTTCTATGAACACAGAAGCCAGGATCGGCTGGCTTTTATTTTTGTGATGTGAAACACAAGTATAGAACCAGAACGGATCCACATGCTTCTCCCCCAAGACAGAATTACTGTATAAAATCAGAAACAATTGGACTCCAAGAAATAGTCTTATGGCGACTTTCCCAATAAATGAACGCTTTTATGCGGAATCCATCTGGGAAAATGGTGTCATTGCATTATATTGAAAGAATAATAAAATGAAACTGCAAATTGTCTTTTAGCCGTGTTTACACCAAATTTGATTTTTATGTGCACACTTTACATACCTAACTCCTATGTGCACAAGAGATTCCACTGGGATTAAAAGTTTATATGTTAATCTTATAATGGTTTTGAAATTCCTCAGTGTCATAATGGGAACCTATCGATAATGGTCACTTGGCAGAGATGTACTCATTTATCTTTAAGCACAACTGAGGAGGTTTTCCTCTCTCGATGTCTGCTATGGTCTCGTCTAAACAACAGTTCCAAATATACCCCGGCAGAGTTCTTTGTAGAGTCTTTTTATGGTTCTAGGCAGAACCTAAGCCCAACAACAAGGAACCCTTTTCAAACACTTATTCTTAAGAGTCTGGAAAGTCATGAGAAATAACTGGCACTCTAAAAACGTCTACTGGATTTGCAATAAACATAAATCTTGCTGATGGTCTGCTGGAAATTCTGGTGGGTGCATGTGGTTTGTTCTTCACATCATATAGCAATAGCATAAGACTTTAAAAGTTCTGAAAACTTAGACCTTATCTTCCATGCAAACCCAACTGTGTTAGAGAAAATCTATGCTAACAAGGTAAGGCTAAGAATATGGATAATAGTAGTACAACTTAATAAATTTAGTAAAACTAATAATTCAGCACTAGAAATGTGATATTTGGTGAACTACAAAAACTAGAGGAACTTTATCAGTCTTGGCTTGTGTTTTCAATTAAGAACTGAACAGGCAACTCATAAACTTTTCAAAGTTAATTTGATTCGCACAGACCCAGGAGGGCTGTGAAAATATGGGTGTTTACAGAGCAGCCCAGATTTACAACAGCCGCTTGTGTTATGTCTCTTTTCATTAAGCAGGAACATCTGAATTCAATAAATCTGAGCTATCAGGAAAAAAAAAAACACACGTCGGCAGAAACTGGCATGAGTCCAGCCACACAGTAGCAGGAACCAGCATCCTTTTCCATAGTCACCCATTAGCCTGTTAGTTCACCTTTAAGATAAAATCGAAGCCGGACGGACATGTGACACCGACGCCTCACGGGACACGTCAAACCCCAGAGTGCCCGATTTCCAGAGTTTTCCGCCGCGGCGCTGAGCAGATCGGCGTACACACGTACCTGCCGTTGCGGGTGTCATGCTGCCTCATGTTCTTAATGAAGTGGACCTTCTTGAAGCTCTTTGGTCTGGGTGAACCCGACAGGGTTCGACACCTTAGGAGAACGCCCAGGAAGACGGCCACGGGTTAAAGACGCCCCCCAGTGTCAACAAAGAGATGAACATAGGTCTCTGTTATCAAAGAGATGGAATTTATTTCACATTATACCAATAGTTATATTATTTTATGTAGTACAATACCTGCGGAGGGGAGCGTTCTCCTCAATGTCCTCCAGAGTCTCCAGTGAGGAACGCTGGGAGATTAGCCTTCGCCTGCGGAAATGCCAAAAAACGAGAAAGTTGGAGCAGGTTGGCTGACTTTGATGCCCCCAGAGCTAGAAGCAGGAGGACCAACGATGGCACCCATGTCTGGAAGACAAGGCTACCAGGTCAGAACTATAGGAGCCGCAAATAGGCAAACTCTGAATGGTTGGATGGGCGGCAGCGTTCTTCAGTGGATAGCACCTCCGTGGCTGGGGGTTCGAATCGAGATTGCATGTTCTCGCCTAGTCTTTAGACGGCACTTAAGCTAACAGGCGTCTCTGAATCGCCTGTTGTGTGCGAGCCCTGTGATGGACTGGCATCCTGTCCAGGCTGAGGTCCCCACTCTGCGAGCCCTGTGATGGACTGGCATCCTGTCCAGGCTGAGGTCCCCACTCTGCGAGCCCTGTGATGGACTGGCATCCTGCTCTGGCTGAGGTCCCCACTCTGCTGCCTGGGGTAGGCTGCAAGGCCCCCTACCAGCTGGAAGATGGATGGACTTATTATTTATGAGCCATGTAGGACTTGGTGGTTTGACTGCTTATTACCCGGAATTGCTCTAGTACATTTGGCCATTTAAGTCATTCTTGGGCATTTAGTCATCTAACAACTCTCCAGTCAGGACAGAAAATGCAGACACCATCTGAATAAGTCCAAGGGTTCACTTATTGGGGGGGGGCGTGGGCAGTGTAACTCTTACTATCCGATGCAACAGCCCTCGCTCCTACGAAACCGACTGCCTCACCTGAAAAGAGCATCTGCTAAATAAATTAACGTGAACCGTAAGCACCGCTCAGCGACCCGGACTATAACATGATCGGTACCCTCCGTCAGGGGCATGTAACGGCAAGACGGCGGGTTAATGTGAGAAGCGCCCGAGTTCCCCAGCTTCACTGAAACCCCCCCCCCCCCTCAAACTCGAGGTGGCCCGTACACCGGATCCCAGCGGACCACGGTCGCTGCTGATCAGCCAGTCGCAGGAAGACGCAAATCACTTTCTGAGGAAAACAGCTCTAGAAAGTAGCTTTGTAGTCTTCCAAGACCCTAAAAGCATAAGTAAAAATATCACGTTCCCCCCCCCCCCGAGTGAAATTCCTTTATCCCTGTTACTATTCTATTGATTGACCAATAATCTTGTAGGGTAACACGCTGGAACTGAAGTAGTCAATAGAGTTCAGACTGCATATCTAGTCCAGAGCAAGATTATTTTAACTTCTTCAGTAAAATACTAACTTTTGTATGATGATATAGATGAAAGATAAAGAAGAAATAGCTCTGCTAGCTGCTTCGGATAAGTCCACATAGCCGATGACTAAAAATCTAATGTATCAAAAACATGAGCCTTTAAAATCTCCTTTTCCAAAAAAAACCTCACAAGGCCTTAATCATGCTGTGTACGAAGAGTTAATGTCGCAAATTTTTTAGTGAACCGATCATGCAAACGTGTACACATCTCACAAAAATCGTTCGCAAAATCTATATGCCAGCGAGTCCTTCTGAACCTCTAGAGTATCCGAAAGTCACAAGACTGACAGTCATGCGCGTGGATCTCTCTGGATTGAGTTCTTTGCGCCGCATAGGTCAGAAAACAGCGTGACCGATTAGCCATTATCTCAGAGTGTGGTAGATGTCAAAACCGTAAAACCCACACAAAGGTCACTTTTGTGTTCTGACTCGATATCAAAGGACATTGGCTGCAGAGGCGAATGAGGCATTGTTTGTGTTACAATCTGACCGCTAAACGTACGATTGGGTGATATTATGGTAATAACGGAGTTATTCTGGTATATTGTGTAATCTTGTAAATAAAAGTAGCAGATTTTTTGAGGACCCCCTTTCCCGCACTGCTAGGAGATGTTTTGAGAAACCCTGAAAATACTATATACCACAATACAATGTCTGGACGGTACAAAAATTATATACCGTCCACGACTACCGCTACGTTACGTTTTGGTCGAGTGCGAGGTGCTCATGACAGAAAACACGCCGTTCGCTCTTCACAGATCCCCACAAGCTGAAATGCAGCCCGAATTAGTGTGAAATCCGATCGCGTCCACTTCATTTAACAGCCAAAATACAAGAACGCGGAGCGGGAGCCAAAACAATTCCTTTATCAGCTTTGTGGTTTCATGGCTAAAACAGAAGCGAAACTGCACAAGTGGATTTCATCCACCCATCTATATCACCTGGAACAGGGTGAACTGATCTAATTTAATTTTCCAATATAAAATAGATACACGAACAGATTTTTAAAATTGAAATTTAAAAGGCGATTAAACAGTGCCAGAACAACTTGGTCAAAAGACAGTAGTCTCAATGAAAAAGTAACAAAGTAACAAATTAAAGCATGAAGAATCCAATGACAAGCCAGGCCCAGAGTGCACAGTGTCACTTCCTGTTACCAAACAGGAAGTCTGTGATCGACAGCCGCTCTATAGGCAGCAGGAGCTGTGAAAAAGGAGCCACACGTTTCACCGTGCTAAATCCGCAGACGGCTGGGTGGGGG